GAGCGGGCAGGCGAGCGAGGTGAGTGTCCCCGCCACGCTCCCGTGAGCGAAGGGGGCGGCGGCGCCTCCGGCAGCGAGCCCCGCGGCTCAGCACCACGGGCCCGCGCCGCGCCCGCAGCCCCGAGCTCGCCTTTCTGCTGGTTTCTCTCAGCGCTGCAGGGAAGGGACTCCGCGTGGGGAATCCCCTCGCTCCAGCCGAGTGAAGCGAGCTGGGGTTGATTGTTCAGCGTTCACTATACAGCACAGTAGTGATGTATCAATTCTAGCCAACCTCTTTCCTCTCCCCCTCGCTAAAAGTCACCTTTAGGATAAGCCTCTATGCTGTCTGCTTGTATTTCCCCCCTTTTACATCAGAGACACCACGAGAGGAGCAAGGGTTGCTTCTGTTCCGTTAAAGCACTGGTTCCCAGCCTGTCACACAGTGGCCTCAGACACTGCTCAGGACCACCTTTTAGAAATCCAGAAGCAGAAAACAAATAAATTAGTAGTGTATCATTTATTTGAGCTCGGTTACAATACACAGACAAGTAGGACGCTGAAGATTACTGAGATTATATCTGTATCTGCAGATAACGTGAGTGACATTCCATATACCAGCAATCTAATAGCAAAGGAGAAGTTGTTTGCATAAATACAGACACCGGAATACATGTAGTTTCACAGTTTTAACAGCAGTATGTTACAACTTTACACTTTAAATTACTACACCAGAGTTTGAGTAACACTGGTTATACATCAGCAGTTATCCCACTATTCGGGATACAATCAGACTGAAGATGAGAACACGGGAAACAAATTGAAAAACAACCAGCAACGACAAAAACAAAATACCCAAATCATGGTTTATGGGAATGATGGGTACTTCCCCCTCTACTGGGAAAAGTTACAGCTTGTTACCAGACTAACAGACCTTCACAAGTTCAGTAAGACTGCACAGCAAAACTCCCACCCCCCACCCAAACCCCTTAAAATCTTGTCTGGAAACAAAATGAAGAGTAGAAAAAGTAAAAGGGTGAGAGACAGTATTAAATACAGCAGGTAACACGTGGAATATCACAAGTTTTGGTTTTTATTAGAGTAAGTTTCTATTACTATAAAACAGTTGCTGTGCACAGTTTGACCAGACAGCTCCATGTCTGTACCAATGGCCTTTATGCGTCAAAGTCCCATTTGTGGCTGTCCTCTGTGCAGGCTTCTGTCCTCTCGAAGTGACACTCCGAGGCAATACTGCAGGTTCTCACATGGTCATGTGCTCTGGTAAAACGTAGGATATGTCATCCCACGGGTGACGGTACAGACCTTGCTTCAGTCTCTTCTGATCCAGGTAGTGTCCTAAAACAGAAGCAGTTTACGTTACAAAACTCCTGTTCCTCATCTTTGCTTTGAAGCCACTTTGATTTCTGATTTCCTACAACTGGTGTTAGAGGCTGAGTCCCCCAGAGGTTCACATCTGTCAGCCCCTGGTGGGGTGGAGGGGCAGGAACGTGGCAAACTTACCAATGAATCCCATACTCCTGCCTAGTACAAAGATGCCATTAAGAGCTCCTATATCAATATATTCATCTGCTTCTTCCCTGCAAAAGAAAACAAATTTAAGTAGTCCCTCATAGTGATCTATTTAAAAAATCAATCTTTGAAAGGCTAGGAGTCTGCTCTAGTGCTGGTGGCAGCACCAAGCTCATGTGAAAGCTTTCTTCTCCGGGGTCCAGGCTACATTTCCTTCACGATACCCTCCTGAAATCCTGGCCCATGGGAGCTGGCAGTACGGCTCCCATCATTTTTACAGGACCATGACATAAGAGGAACAGCCCACTACCTACTTACCGTGTGAAAGAGCCACAATTCCTGAGTACGTCAACAAAGGCAACTCCAATAAAGCCATCTACATTCAGGATAAGGTTTGGTTTCTGCAGGAAATGAAAACACACCCCCATAAAGATGTTAACAGTGGCAAATGATATTCACCTGGTGTGGGCGCGTATGCCGGGTCACAAACCCCCTGCATCATTGACAATGTAAAAGTGTCATCAGCATTCAAGCTGAAGATTAACGATGTCTAAATTAATGACGCACTTGTGTTAGAAGACTAACTGCGTCTAGATTAACGACGGCTAAAAGCAAAAGTATTTTTGCTCGTTAGGGGAGAAACAGATAAGAAAGGAATCTTCAGAATAACAAAGCAGAAATTTATCTACTGCTTGTGCACGCTTAGTAGCACTTGTTGAAAGTGCCGAGGGGAACGAGTTTTTGAAATGAGCATGGGCCAGAGCAACACGCAGATTTGCTGTCACAAGACTAGATAAGGACTTGTTTTTCTAATAAACGTGAGAGCTTGACTGTGGTGTGTGTCATGCCTCTCACTCGCGTCCTGCAAAAACAAGGCCGCCGACTACAACCTGGCAACTTCCATCCTCAAGGGTAATTTGAGGGCTGCCCAAAATTGTGGGCACACAGCCCAGGGATAGAGGCTGCTCAGCAACTTGAGCAAGAGCCACGCTTGGGAGTGATGGAAAACCAGCCCCGACAGTGGGCCTGTGTTTAGTTCAAAGCAGATTGTCTGCCACAGCCCATCGCAGGGGCCAGCTCTGCCTCACATTTAAAGAGCACAGCAGTTCCAGTGCGGACAGGGGAGGACACAGATAATGGCTTTTGGTTTTTTCAGCATTTCCCTGGTGTCCAACAAATGTCTTCAGCCTTACCAAACCGTAGTTGTACTTGGCCTCAAGTCTACCATAGAAAAAAACCAAACCCCAGCAACCATTTATGAAGCACTGCAATTAAAATACAGTATTAACCCCTGGTCACTTTTCTCTCAGTAAGGAGGAGTGCTCAGGAGATGCTAAATACTAGCGCATTTCACCTTAGAAGTTGTAATTTTTTCTACTTCAAGTGCATAGTCCAGCAGTGGGGTGGCAGGGAAATGCTGCTTCACGTAGTCTTTGAGGATCTGAACTCTCATGTCTGGGTTGTTTATCTGCAAGTTAAGAACATTAGAGTCACTGGTGTTGCCCTTACACAGGTACTCGCCATAAGCTTTACTATTGCAGGCTGAGGAGAATTTGGCCAACAGCTGCCTCAAAGTTGATAATTTTCTTCCCTTTGGTTTTGTCTCTCCCCCACCCTTTGGTAAAAAACCCCTATGAGTTGTACTCGTGCAGGTTTCTTACGGATTTGACTCTGTGTCCGATGCCCATGATCAGCTTCCCTTCTTTCTTCATCTTATTCACAAACTCCATAGGGATAATCCCACTGTCGAAGGCTTTGCTGAACATTTTAGCAGCAGCATCCAGTGCTCCACCAAACCGGTCACCCTGCGTGCAACACAGAGGGAATTACGGCAAAGGGCTCCACCGTTCAGGTACAAAACAAGCACAGGATTATCTTCCCCATTTGCCCTGCCTATCACTGTGGCATTCATGAAATTAAAGTTAGGGAGGCACCCGAGATAAAGCATCTGTTTATAACCCAGTGCCAATACTTAGCCAACGCATCCCCGCTAGGGACAGAGCGTGGGAGGAAGTGCAGCCTAAAGTCTGTTTTAGTCACATTTTTACTTGTCAGTCTTGGAAGAGTCTAGGCAACCATACAGGAACAATGCTGACAGAAATTTGGCCTCTACAAAATATTTCTAAACTCAAATGAGACATCGAAGTAGTCTTGCTTACTAGAAAAACAGACTAGGTTTAAACCTAGAGCACCAAGCTATTAGAGTTGAACTCAACAGAAGTTCCGTGTGGGTAAACACAACACAGATGGCTCTGCAGCCAGTCTAAATCTTAATAGTAATAAAACCTAGACCGAGCGATGAGTAAGAGAGCGAAATCTTCTGGCTATTTGGTACTTACAATGGTAAGAAGGCCTGAAGTGAGACTCGAGACAAGATCTTTTCCAGCTCTTGCACAGACGATGGTGTTGTGGGCTCCAGACACAGCGGGCCCGTGATCTGCTGTTACCATCAGACACATCTCGATGAACTGGCAGGCGTACTTGGGTAGCCTGAGCAGGAGAGACTCGGGTCATTTCTTGTAAAGAAAACTGAAAAGACACTCAGTGTTCTACTGGAGAGTGGCTTTCGCTTTAGGTGTGTGCTTTAAAGTAGAACAGAGAAGGGGAGCTGCAGGGTCTCAGTGCCCATCAGTGCATCCTAATGTCTTTCTCATCGGCCTGTGCTGCAGTTCTGTCCCTCCTGTTCTGCCGAGCCAGACTCCAGCTTAGTGCCAGGAGTGCTCTAGTGAAATTGGGGAAGGCAGCAAACTTCTGCCGTTCAGAAAGTTCCCTGCAGGCTGGTCAGCGAATGTCTGGGAAGTCCCCACTTTCCCTAGAGTTGAGGTGACAATTACACTAAACGAGTAGTCAGATAGTGTGAAACAGGCCTAGAATAGAGAAATTCCCTCAGTGCACCACAAATCTTGTGGAAAACTTCATCCCAAGGCTAAAACATGCTGTATGAAGCCTTGAAATGCTGATGTGGTCTCAGAGGAGGGGGTATAGGGATGGCATTTCCAGTGAATCTACATTCACAAAGGAATCCTGGAGTTACTTTTGTGCTTAAAAGCCTACTAATAAACAAGAAAAACGTCAAGCCAATTTGGGAGCTTTCACAAAAAGCTGCCTCACCTCCTTTGAAACCAGAGCAGGCCCAGAACCCCTCCAATTCCCATCTCTTCTTTGAAGACCTCAGTGATTGGCATCCCAGCATAAATCAGCTCCTGACCTCTCTCGTCACAGATGCTTGTCATAAAGGAAGCGGGTTTGCGGATCAGACCCAGCTCCTGAAATCGCAGCACAAAAGGTGGGATTTTAAACATTCCACATTAGAAGCAAAAGGCACAGTGGTCTAAAAACAATGCCTGAAGCTTGCCCTCAGAGCAGCTTCCACAGCCTAGAACGGGCATGGCCAGTGACCTCAGATAACACTATGAAGCGCCAGATGAAACCCTGAAACACCA